TTCTTCTTCTTCTTCTTCTTCTTCTTCTTCTTCTTCTTCTTCTTCTTCTTCTTCTTCTTCTTCTTCTTCTTCTTCGGTTCTAGACCTATGACTCGAAACGAGAGCTGAAATGAGGCAAAACGTAAGAAGTTTGTCAGCGATGCATGAGAAATTTCTAGTGAGTGAGCCAGAAAAAAAGAAAAGACCCATTGGCTCCGCTCTATTTATGCTGGAGCTCATCCCTCGCCAACTACTATAAGACCGATACCAATTTCGATAGCTTCTTTTTTATTTCCTTTGCACAAAAAAAGAAGAACCGAGAGATCACTTGTTCCACTCAATGTTTCTTTACTTTTTCTTCATCTTCCCGTTCTCGTTTCAGTCATCCCATTTTCTCCAATTTTTACAACAATTGGTCGCTTAGGGATCATCAAATATTCGCAGAGGCCGCCCATCCTCTATCCTAGTTTCCTTCTTTTTTCGAAGGCGACGTCACCTTGAATTGTTATGTGCAATAGAAATGTATGAATTAGAATGTTTTGTCTGGGCTCTCGTAGAATGACGGAGCTTAAAGTTTTGATAGAAATCGCTCTTTCTCACGAATCTCATTGGGGCGATTTTCAGTTCCTGCTTTTGTTGAGAAATTTCTGATTATTCCATTTTCCGGACGCCTGCGTTCGTGATCTTGGCGAGCTTTCAGAAAGTATATGAAATGTTTTGTTACAGTAGTTGAGTTCTGAGACCCTGAATACAAGTGTATGTATACTGCTTTTTTATAATATTTTGTAGAAAAGCAACGTTTATAGTTAAAGTCAGAAAAGAAAAATAATTCATTTGGAAGTATGAAAAATATGAATTTTTATCACAATTATTTTTTTATAGGTACTAGATTAATAGGGTTTGATACGATTAGTCAGGGAACAGAATTCAGAATTTCTTTCAAGTACCGTAAAACCTGTAATAGAAGAGTCCCTTAACTGTCAAGTTAGAGCCAAGTTTTCTCGGTTTCTGTCAAAGATATCAAAAAGTTGTCAACCGATAAAATGTTTATTATAATGACAGAAATGTTTTGTCAGTTGACAGATTTTTGATATCTAACATAGGAGTTGAGATAATTGAGCTTAAAATGGACAGTGTGGGAGTCATTCTATTACAGGTTTTACGGTATCCAAATCTTTCTAAAGGATTTGACGGGTTTTTGCCCACATTTTCCGGTTCCTATTTTTTGTCAGAGTCCAGAGTTTTCATGGATTTTATTTCTATTTCAAACCACAAAGAGCTCATATGTGACAGTAATCGAACTTCCTGTTCTCGAATTCATTTAGATTCTGCTTATTTGTAGTTTTAGAAATATTTATTTTTCGTTAAAATCTGAACGATACTACAAATGAGAATTGGAAAAACACAAACTCAGACAGGCTTTTTCAAGTGATTGTAAGCTAGGAAAGATTTTTGTATTTCGCAACGGGGACCGAAACGCTCTGGAAATAAGAGATGAATCATTTTAAGCGCGAAAAATTTCAAACAGACTTATGTTAGTTTCGAAAACATATTTAAAAATTTTTTAAGTTGGCGGTTCTGAAATTTTGTGCAAAATTATATATGATTCGAGACTATTAGATTAAAATCCGAGATGAAAATAATTTTTCAAATCTCTGAAACCACCAGCTTCGTCGGGTGAGTCACCCGTGGTGACATGGTATTTTTGCATGACTATACAAAACCCAATGCAGTTTTTTCCCACAAAAATGAAATCATCAACAACGTATGTTCGTACCGCATCACGAAACAACCAATAAAAGAATGTTTTGAAGCTTTTCTCTGTCTTGTCCGTCCAGTCTGTTCTTCTCTCACGTGTGTTTGCCATTCCTGTCCTCTTCCCGCCTTATCTCCTTTTATTTTGTTCCACTCTTTCAAACTTTGGCTCACATTCTTCTTCTTTTCTCCAAAACAGTTGGTACACTTTCTTAAAGCCATCCTCTCCTTTTTTTCCATTTTTGTTCCCTAAATACCTAATCACATCATTTTTCATACAAAGAAACTTGATATGACGGTAGGCTCCAGCCTCCAGAAGGTCCTCTCGCCACGTGCTGAATTTTTTATAGAGGTTTTTGCACAAAAAAAGGAGGAAAAAAAGTGTGCGCGTGGGATTCAGGAATGAAAAGAATAGATACACTATTTGGATTTCTTTGAAAGAGGTTCAGAGGTCTCCTTCTTCTTCTTCTTGCACAACCCAATTTGTATCGCCTCATCATTCTTCCTTCCTCTACCAAAACCCATTTTTTGCAACAAACAATCTCTAGTGTGTCCGAAGAAAAGTATCATGGAATAAACTGCAAAAAAACAATGAACCCGTTCAATTTCCGATTCGTCTGAAGATGCACTTGCTCCTCCCTTTAAAAAGTTGGAAGCTTGAAAGAAGACGAAATTCTCATTTCCAATCATTTCAATTTTCTTCTTCTCAAGTTCTCCTTCAAGTTGTTTCTTCCTCTTGAATCAATTTCCCGCTTCTTAGATTCGTGAGCATCTTCAATTCAACATTGAGTCCTTCATCGAAGAACACCATCTAAAGTTCCTCGCTCGAATCAAATTCTCAAATTTTAGATATTATTAAGTTACCAGCATGCTGGTGCGCCTTCGGCGCGATTTCATCTACTTTTTTACTGGTTCATTACTTCACTTCTCATTTTTTAAAGGGTCACATAAATCTATATTTATTTTTCAAGCTTTTCAAAAGTCCACAGCCTGACGCCAGGACGGAAAGACGCGTGTAGCGTTTTATATATAAGGAAGATTCCGAAAAATTCTTGGTGCTATTAAGTGACGTAGATCAGGGTAGATAGCAAATTTGGAAAAAAGGTTGTAGCAAAAAGTATACGTCTTCATAGATTATTCATGACCGTAAGGAGGTCGTTTGTTCCTTCCGGCCATTTAAACACAAAGCAGAATTAATGAGAGTCGGAGAGAGACGTGCTCACTTTTTTCCTGAAGTCGATCCGACAAAGTTATGTTCTGATATTCACGTAGGCATTTCATTAGGTACCATTGTCAAGAAATCTTATATCCGAATCCATCTATCTCATCAAATACCCAACGATCCTTGAAAAGTCCCATTCCTGATTCCACATCCATCAGATCTTCAGTACTTTATTATTTTCTTGGTTTTTTTTTCAAAATATTTCTTCCGCTTTTGCATGTTTTTCCAACTGTTTTATTCTATTTTTGTTTCTCTCTAAAAACAGAGGAAAGCTTCTTTGCTGAAAATCTCTTTATGTCCATTCGTTCTAGTACTCCGTTCGGGAAGCTTCTTCCTCATGTAAATCCAGTTAACACAGTGCTTTTTTCTGCTGGAAGAAGGAAGGATAATCCTTGGGTAAAGAGTGGTGGCTGGAGAAGAAAAAAGACAGAGAGAGGCCATGAAATGGACAACGAATTAACATAATTTCCCATGTTTGTTTTTCAGAGAGTCTGAACAACAAAAAAAGCGGAGAGAGAGGGTTATGATTGTATTTATGTGAATAGTAGTAGTCATGACGTCTCGTGATCTGAATAACTGTTTCAGTTTTTTTGGTTTAAGAATCAAACATCTTTTTCTTATTAGCTACCATCTTTTTGGATGTTTGGGAAGATGACGCTATATAAATAAAAACAAAAAGTTCATGATGATTTATGACTTGGTTGTTTAGTTTCCTTCCTTTTTTCCGTTTCCAAGAACTTTAACTTTAGTCTGTCTGAAAACAGGATTTCTAAAATAGTTTGAACAAGTTTTTTGAATGTGAATCTTCGTAAATTCTCGAACCAATTTTCTCATCAAATGTTCGATGATTCTTAATAGTTTTCCCACTTTCTTCTCTAGTTTGAAAAACTTTTGAAAGTTCTGTTTTTTGTTTTTCACCTCTCCCTTTTTCTTACGAATACGACAATTCGATCCAAACATCCTTTAAATTAAAATGCTTCTCCTGAAAGTTCTCAGAAAGTGCTATAAAAGTTTTCCCAATATGTCTGGAACCTGATCATCATAAGCTATTGATCATGGTTTTGTACTAATGATGTCTTTTCAAAATTCATGTTTCCCTTATTCCTTATTCTTCCATCATTTTCTTATTATGTGTGTATTCTTGGAATGAAGAAATGTTATGAACATTTCATTAGACGTGGGAGAACGTCGACTGAAATCTAACACAGCAGTCTTATCGTAGATCAGTTTTAGAAAAGACTAAAGTTTCTTTGGTGAAGAAAATCGAAAAGAAAAAGAATTCATTAGGTTTTCGTTGTGAAATCTCAAGACAGTTATCCCACCTTTATCACCGTAAAACCTGTAAAAGAAGGGCCTCCACATGGGCAACTTTGACCTTATTTATCTCGGTACCTGTAAAGGATATCAAAAAGTTGACAACTAATAAATTACTTATCATAATACCACAAACATGTTATCAGTTGACATATATTTCATACCTCTTACAATAACAGAGGCAAATAAGGTCAAAGTTGGCCATGCGTTCTCATTCTAGCATACGTCATTGTTTTCAAATTTCCACAATGATGAAAAAAAAACGATGAAGACATCATCATCATGTTTAGCAAAAAGATGTATGAATTTGAAATCCACGTGCATTTACATTCTATTTTTGGCTCATAATGGTCCCAAAAATAGAAATTTGGTCCATCTCCTCCCATCCTCGTAGTATACCACCCCCACTTCTGAATCATAACTGAAATTTGAATTCGCAAACACTTCTGAACTCTAGTCCTCGCTTCTTCTTCTTCTTTTTTCCATTTTCATGCTCTTCCGGAGGGTGTCAAGTAGCACGCAAGGCAATCTCAGACACCACTCTATCTTTTTTTTCGTTTCTTGTCAAATTTCAGAGTTCCTTGTTTATTTTAGACAAACCTCTTGAGATGATAAACATGACCTGAAGAGAAAAAAGTGAGAGTTGCGTGAGATTCTTCAGATTTATGCCCGTTTTTTTTTCTCACACCTACTCCCGATGGCGTGCATGTCAATTGCATCGATAGAGAAAGTGCTGTCAACTTTCTGGCGTGAAGAAACTGAGAATTTTTGAAAAAGTGCAAGTCATTTTTTTTGCCGTAGTCACAATTTGATCCTCTTCCAATTATGGCTTCCAGTCCAACTCATCCACTTCTATTTACTTCTTTTTAATTTCTGCTCTTTTTCCTTGATCGAGACCCTCTTTCTTGTTTTTTTGCAGCATGTGTTTTTTTCCTCTTTTTTCATTCATGAAGGTATTGGCGGTATCAAGAAACATATCTCAATGTAGAAGATGGAAAGGAAAACGTCGGCGAGATGACACGACGTCTTCTGTCCCGGCATACAGAAATTCATTAATCCCGTGTGTGCCAAAGCTTCTTTTCCATGGTCGTCACATGGGATAAGGCTGATTCACGTCTTCCCCAATGACATCGTAACCCCTAAAACTTGAAATAGGCGTTCCGCAGAGGATGGTTCAAAATATGAGAAGATCCGGAGGAAGCTGAAACTTTAGAAGATTGCCTGGAATCGAGAAGAGCTAATGAGAGGATGTTTCAAGATGAGAAATTTTAAATAAAGTCTCATAATACGAGAGACTAAAAAATCCAAAGAAGATTAGTAGGCCGCTTAAAAGTACAGTTTTCGTGACCGAACTTTGCTGAAGGCGAATCTCAAACTTTTAAAAATTACTTTTCTTCTTATAATAACATCTCTCCTAGAACTCCTTATGTGCTATCTTAAATTCATATCCTTCTTTCGCCCACCCATCTTCATCTATGATCGTTTAACCTCTCACCCACACACTACTATGATTCACAGGCACGTATACATTCGTCCCGTCGAACCCTTTGGATATTTTTTGGAAGCAAATATATTAAACACATCTAGATTGTCTATCTTCTACAAACATTAAAACATTACGCTTCGACTCAAAATAGAAATCTAAGATATTCAGACAAATATGATCCATTTTTCCCCTACTTCATATGAAAGGGTTTATACTTACTCATACTCGGAGGTTTTCGTTTTCTACCGAAAAATATTCATAGACGCCTATCATCATTTTTTTTTCTTCTTCTTCATTTTCTTTTTCTTCTTTCCCAACTCTTTTCTACTTTTTTTTTGAATGAATTGGATAGAGTTGGTCAGGAGATACGGGGTGGAGTCTTTTGGAGTCTTTAGAACTTGGCCGACTTCACCGTCCATCGGTCATCTCTCCCTCAAAAACCGCCCATTCTGAATACTTAAGTTGAGAATTTTCTCATGGATTTGTTGATTTGATTCTTATGTTTCTAGAGAAGTGAGATTCTCGTTGAAGTCGACGCATTATTTCTTTAAAAAACAAAGAAGTAACCTTTTGGTTACAGAATGTAAACATTCAACGTCTTCTCGAAACTACTGGATCCTCGAACTTTCCGCTTTTAGGCATCTGCCCTCATTCTCATTCAATTAAGCATCCATGTATACTCCTCCCCTATTCTTCTTCTTTTCTTCACACCCACTTCTTCTGCTCTTCTTCATTTCTTGCCCAAATTCCCCAAAAACGGATAGGCTATTGAGAGCTTCCCCAATATATTTGTTGGCCGACGCCTCTTGACACCACCACCCAACACCTCGTTCCCCGACCTCTTCAGTCTTATCAGATGACGTGAGAGTTTTTATTTTTCAAGTAGTTTTCTTCTGTTTCTTCATAACTTGCACGCTCCGCTTTCAATTAGTCAACGGTTCCGCCCCATAACTTCAACTATGCTCTCTCTCTCTTCGTCTCTTTTGGTTGACACTGAGGCTGGTTTTGACCAATTTTCAATTTTCAGCTCTACATCTGCAACAATGGCCAAAACATAACTTGGCTGTTGAAGCCTTCCAGTCCATTCGAAACGACAAAACATGTTATTGTCAGTTTCAAATGACACTGACCAGATTCCACAGGTGAGAGAGACTTTTTGATTCATTCTATTTCCAGTATGGCTTCCTATTTAAGAAAAACAAGCAATATAAATTGTGGAACTTTTTAGAAATTGTTCGAGACTAATGGAAAAAACTGTTTGATTATTTCAGGATGAGAACTCGTTCCAGTGGAATGCCTTTCACGCCTTCTTATTGCTTCTTATTATCCTCGTAGTCTTTGGAAACACAATGGTCATATTCGCCGTCGCCGTTGACAGAAAACTACGGTCCGTTACAACTAACAAGTTCATCGCATCATTAGCAGTATCTGATCTTTGGTCGGACTGATTGTCATGCCACTGTCTCTCTACTATAAAATGCATAACGATCATTGGACATTAGGATACACCTGGTGTCAGTTTCACCTGGTTTCAGGAGTCTTTTCAACAACTGCGAGCATTGTTCATCTGGTTGCTATCAGTTTGGATCGTTACTTTGCAATCATGTTTCCAACGGAATACCAGAGACATTCAGTTTCCACGTCTACAGTTCCCTACGTTGTGATGATTTGGCTGATGGCTCTGGCTGTTAGCTCTACACTTTTCATGGAACAGAGGGATTCTTTCGATGGGATATGTTGGATCAGCAATCCTCAGTATATCGTCCTCTCTTCATTCTTATCATTTTTCCTTCCTGGAGCCATCGTTGTCTACTTATACATGAAAATATTCAAGAAGCTACGTAACCATCAGCTCTACATGTTTGGCCAACTGACGCATCGTGGTGGAGAACGAGAACGACGACATTCGTTGCCACGTGTCATCATTGAGGAAGTTCGATCACGACGAGGTTCAAGAATGTCGCAAACCGGATCACAGTCTGGAAGTCCCACGAGACGACAAAGTGGCGGAAGCAAGGAGCGATCTCCGAGCCAGCCGGACATCCATATTGTGGCGAAGCCTCAGCAGAGGTGAGTTGATTGGATTGGTGTTTAGGTGGCCTCCTTTCGTTGGGAGAAGAGAGAGTGAGCTCAACTCTTTTTATGAGCTTCCTCTTATTTGGTGGATGAAAAAAAACCAATCAAGAACAAATTGAATCGGTTCACTAGATAGCTAAAAGAGTTGAGTTGTCGAGATGAAAAGAAGGCCCTTGGGGAAATTTATCGCCTTTTTTCGCCTTTTATATCTTTTCTCGCACTTGATCACGTGGTTCGTGTGAGCTGAATGATAATTGAATATGTTCATGAAGTGTGGACACACAAGGTATACGGTATTCTAGTAAGAACTATCAAATCACTTGAGAATTCTTGGCCTAGTTTCATGAATCACAAAACCAATTATTGAACGACATCTGAGTATTGCCTAACACTTTTTCAAAGAATTACACAGGTGATTTTTTCATGAATAGAAGATGATTGTCATCTGAAACGTTAGAATTCATCTCTACTCAACTTTTTGATTAGTAGTAAAAGCGAGGAATAGAAGAAAGAGGGCAGAAATTGTGACTTCAACTTTTAATTAAATTTCTGTTCGAAGCATTTCTGCTCAAAGCACACAATGCGGAAATTTTCATTTATTCAGCAAACAGCTTGCAGATGGAAGTCTGAAATTCAGATCTTGCAATTTAAAACAGACATATTGGAATTTCAACAGAAATTTAAACTCTCGAAATTGAACTTTTCAGATGGAGATCACCAACAATCTGTGCAGAAACGTTGGCTCATGATAGGTTATTGGCAGCAAAGAAACGAGTTTCAATTGTACCAGATCCACCATCGATGGATGTTTCTGTGAATATGGCATCAATGGATCAGATGAAAGATGAACATCATCACAATCTGATGCGAGAAGAAGAGCTATTAGGGTTTGAATCTGGAAGAAGAAAACAGAGTGAGGAAGAAGTGAGAAAATTAAGTGATGAGAGAAAGGTCAGTACATTCGAACACATCTGAAAATAATGAATAAAATATGTTTCAGAGAGTAATCTATGAGAGGCGACGGTCCAGCACATCCGAGAATCCAAATGGTGTACCAATCATGCAGGCGTTTCAGAAGGCTTATCAGGAAGTCAGAGCAGGAAGACGACGGTCGACTATTCATGATAGTGAGTCACTCAACAACCCAATTAGTATTCTTCTTCTTTTCCTATGGTTTCGACATTCTGCTGATTCAAAACACGTTTTGTTGTTCTAAAACACAAAAAGTTCAGTTACAGCCTACCACTTCCCATCTCTCACCACAGTCAATGAGCCAACAACACCGCCGACTGGAGAAGAATCAGAAGAAAGAGAAAAGGAATCCGATGCTCCGACGATTATGCATAAGTTATCCAGTGGTTCTAGTATTGCTGAAACCGTGATTGCAATGCTTCCAAAGACATCCACATCTCTATCGAAAACTGATTCTCATGAAGATTCAGTTTCCACGGAAGCCAGTCAGAAACCTCTACTTGGTCCTCCAACCCATCACTACACCAAAAAATCTCAACAACACAAAGAACCAAGATACTCACCATCCATTCCTGCCCCAACATTCCTGATGGTTCCTGCAATGATGTCCGTGAATACTCCTCCAGCCACACCAAATACCAAAGAAGCTCCAACAAACTGCACGTCTCTTCTGCAAGTTCCACGACTTTTTGATTGTCCATCGCCATGCAGTGTTCCCAGTAACAGCAGTCATTCATCCTACACGTCTGCAAGTGGATCTAGTGACACTTACCGAAGAATATCAATGAACAGCTACGGAAGTAGCCTCACTGATGGAACAGAGTCTACTTTTGAGTGTGATTCTAGAAGATCATCGGCTTGGTCAACTATTCGAGCTGCTGTTTTTGATCGGCAGCAAGTTAGGGGCGGAAAAGCGAGTGTGGATATTACTGTGGATCGGACTGGGTCTCCACAGAAAAAGATGTCCACTATTAGCCGAGGAAAATTGAGAAGAATCGCTACTCAAGTGACAAGAGCAATAAGAAGAAAGAGAAGAGAATCGATGGCAATCAGAAGAGAGTCGAGGGCTACTAGAGTTGTAGCAGCAATTCTTAGTAAGTTCTTGTAATAGAAATCATGTAAAAATAATCTTTGCAGTTGCATTTCTCATCTGCTGGATTCCATACTTCTGTATTTCTATCTTCCGTGGAGTTCTGATGGGTTTCCACATGAATATCAACACTCCACTTCATCTCACATTGTTTGTCTATACCTCGTGGCTAGGTTTGTCTAATCGATCTCCAAATGAAAACTCTGAAAAATTTATTTCCAGGATACGCTCACTCATGCTTCAATCCATTGATTTACATGTGTCTGAACAAAAACTTCCGTAACACTATGCGAAAAATGATGCAGAAAACGAAAGCAGCTGAGCACGAACCTTAAATCATTTCTGTACTTCGTATCGAAGTGTTTCTCCTCTAATTGATCTCTTAATTTGTGTCTATTTCCATGTGAAGTTCTCTGCTGCGTTTGCCGATTTTTGAATGACTGGTATTAACTAACTATTACTATTTTGTCTGGTTTTAACGGGAGCTTTATCTGAAAATAAATGTTGAAAGCTAATTGCCTACTATTCAAACTTTTATGAATAAGAGAAGTCGTGTGAAAATTAATTTATAAAGGTCCAGAACACAAGAAACTGGCTTTTCTTTCGAAAACAGCATTTGTGGGCAATTGTATTATGCATGCAGAATTTCAAACTAATATCAAACCATGGTGATAAATGGATCGACAAGAGATTCGGAAAGAATATACTGTCAAGAGTATCTTACTATTAGAACAAGCTGAATTTTTTGCCTTGTTTTACAATCAGACCTGAAATCGTTTTGTTATTCATTGTAATCTACAGTATCCAGTTCTTTTTGAAACATGGTTATCCTGGAATCACACTGAGCAATACACTCGCTGTTTCAGCATTTTCCTCTTTCAGGCTTATTAAGGTAAACATTGCTAAATGAATTTCCATGAAGCGAACCAAAATTACTTCGAGGAACAGCGACTACTTATATTCTTTCTGTACTATGATTTCTCACATCTTGTCAAAGTAAACATTTGAAATACACTTTTATTTCGCCTTCTTAGCTCCATTCAGAGCTGTTGAGTGTCACTTCGAATGGTAGGTTGAACGGTTCTAAAAATTAGAATTGGAGACGTATCTGTCAGTTCATTTCAGGGTTGCAATCTGACGGGCCGGCCCGAGGGAAAAAAACCAGGGCCCGGCCCGGCCCGGCCGGCCGGCAATTAATTAATATTTGAACGCGCGCCATTTTTATTTGCAACGATGCTCCGATATGACGATATGAAAAAGATTCGAATACCCCGGACTGTACTCAGCAGCACTTTTCGTTTTTTCGATTGTTCCCAGTGAAGCCATGTGTGAGACTACGTTCAGCACTGCGTCGTTTTTGTTAGATAAAACAAGAACAAGATTACTGTACAAGCGTGTGGAGGTGGTCGTTCTGGGTTCGCAAATAGCCACGAAATTTCCACACTGGCTCGACTGATACTTGTTAAGAAATAAATTCAAATAATTCTTCAATAATTTCTGTTTTTTCTTAAATTCGAACGGGCCGAACCGGCCGAACCGGCCGAACCGGCCGGGCCGGGCCGGAGAAAAAATAATCTCGGCCCGGCCCGGCCCGACCGGTTGCAACCCTGGTTCATTTAAGCTTACCTCTTCGGATTTTACAATTGTTGATAGGCACTGGAAATCGATAAGATCAAAAAAAGATTCGCCAATATTTTTTGCGAAAAAAATTATTCGTATATTTTTTTGCTCTCCTCACTTCCCGGTAGAAAATGAATACCGCTAACGATTTTGCAAAAAAAGAACACAGGTCTGCAGATCCAAATTAATTTGAATGAATTTGAATCAAGAATTTTATGGAAACTTTGTTTAAAAATAAACATATTAATCATTTTTGGGGAATCTGTAGTCTTTTTTGATACTTCGGTGGTATTTTCAGTTTTTTAAGGAAGCAAAACTCCTTCATGCAAACGAAACCAAGTAAATCAAATTTTATTTCTCATGATATAAATTCAATTTCTATCAGCTCAAGATATCAAGAATGATATCGGTTTTGTCCTATTCGGGGTTCTCAGTAGTTTTCCAAACGTTATCATTTTGAAAACATGATTTCTATAATGTTTATGTACTATCACCATACAGCTTCCTCTAAGCAATCCGTGAAATGAAACAAGAAAAACCAGATGATTGTTGACCTCTAAAAAGTTGAATTTTCAGCTGAAATTCACGTCATTTCAAACCTTAATCATAGTAGCCAATGTTGGCTGAAAACCAAATGTATAAAATAGGTGGCATAAAAACAATAAATGGGATCATCATTTGAGCAAGAGATCCGATCAAGAATTTGAATTGCATTTTTTGAGTTTCTGCAGAAACTCTGGAACTATGAACAAAGACAAGATGATACCAAGTGTGTAAAAAGTAAAATGCTCCTTGAGGCATAATAATAATTGCTTGAGTTGCATGAGCATTGTCGCAAAGAATGGGTTGTTGGTCACAAAGAAAAGTCGGGAGTCGAAAAATTCTGGGATAGGGCATGGAACGACCTGAACAACAAACTTACAAAGCTACACTTTCTATTTACCTTCAGAACCTCAAGAGCAATAGTTTGAACATCAAAGTTTTCAAGATAAGGGGGAATGACAGTAGCACAAGCAACCATGTAATTGAAAACGTTTAGCAACATCCGGATCCATTTCCTACTGATTTTCCATTTGGTCATCAGTAAGTTCTGCCAGTTTTCCAGCAGACCTGTTGCAGCCGATGCATAAACAGATACTAATGCTTGAATCGAATACAAAAGGAACCAAGATGGTATGCCAATGTATTGCCCATATCCAAGCATAACTCCGGAAACAGCCGGGAAAAATAATAGTGGGATGGATAAAACACTGATAACGAAGTCAAGAACGACAGTCCATAAATGAACATTAAGCAACGCCCATTTTGCAGCTTTTAGTTGTTTTGGAGTGACTTCAATTACACAGTATGTGCAGTACATTGATAATGGTATTGATATAGATGTAACGATATGAACAGAAGTAATTAGATATTCTGACCTAGAAAAGTAAGATGTGTGAGGTGGACAATGAGAATAATTATTAATATAGTAGTTGTTCATGGCTTTCCTTTAAGAATAAGTTGTTGTAGAGGGTTTTTCGTGCTAAAATCTGTGCAAAACAGCTCCGAGAATCTTCGGCTGATAGCCATGAAGGCGCCGGGAAGGCGTCACTAGACGTCAAAAATTCGATTGAGTAGATTGTATTCTAGAGGGCGGAGTATCTCAAAAACCGTGAGATCTCAACTGCTAGACTTTTCGCATTCAAGATTTTTGAAATAATCCAAGTTTGCTTTTCAGAGACCAACTCAAAAGAAGGTGGACTATTGAACTCTTTTGCCTCACCCATATGATTAATGTATGTATTCTCAGATACGTAATAAATTGAATTGAATTGAAATGAAGTTATTACATTCTGTTTCTTTTTTGATTTTTCCCAAACATTTAGTTACTTTATTCAAGGTTCATCATAAATGCTTAGACCCACTTACTGCATTGAAATCTTTTCACACAGTTAGACATTCGAATTAATCAAAACTGAAGCAACAGTGGTCCTATTCACTTGAGCTTTTCTACGAGTTAACATTCTGATTAGATGTTGTCTATAATGCTTGTGCACCAAAAGTAAGCAGATGGTTCCCAATAACCCGTGTAAAGACATGAGGACAGCCAGATGATTATTAAGCACTGCAATTCGGTCTTTAGTTTTCAGAATAGTTACTATAGGTGACTCACCGTGATTGTAGTAACCTGTATTAAGTGATAACCAGATATATAAAACAGGATTCAAAAACGAAACCAGTGGTATGCCGATTTGAGCAAGCGATCCCACAAGGAATCGAAATTGCATTTTTCGTGTTTCCGGGGAGGCTCGTGAACCATGGGCATAAACAAGATGGTACCAAGTATGGCTTACATAAAATATGCCTTGTGGTAAGAGAACCATCATTAGGGATGCCATTAGAATCGTCACCAGCACTGGCTTATTTGTGACAAAAAATAAACGAGAGTCGAAAAATTCTATTACAGGGCAAGGAATGATCTGAAAGAGAAACGAGTCTTGAAGTTCGATGAATAACTGAACCTTGAAAACTTCCATTGCCATAGCTTGAGTATCAAAGGTTTCCAAGTACGGAGGAATCAAAATTCCACAGGCAAACACGTAATTGAAAATATTCAAGAGGATTCGAACCCAATTTCTATCAATCTTCCATTTTGTATGCAGCAGATTTTGCCGGTTTTCAAGAAGGCCAACTCCAGCGAATGCAAAAATGGCTACCAATGTTTGAATTGAGTAAACGAAAAAACGAGGAGGAATCCCCATGACTTGTCCCCATCCTAACATAATTCCACCTACAGCTGGAAGAAATATAAATGGAATTGCTAAGAAATTAAGGACAACATCAAGAACAACAGTCCAAAGATGAACGTTCAATAATGCCTATTTGGCACTTCTCAGTTGTTTAGGTGTGATTGTGATAATCAAATATGAAGCATAAATAGACAATGGGACAGATATGCAAGTGACAATGTGAGTAGCAGCACTAACGTATTGGGAAGATGCGAAAAAAGATATTGGATGAGAACAAGACGAGTAGCTCTTAATGTAATAGTTTTCCATGTCATTTTAAATTATTTAACATGGCACGTTTTTGAATAAGTATTGCACCTGTTTTTCACGACCAAAGTTATTGATTTATATACTCATAGTCAGACCAATTACTTGACTGATTAAATATCATAAATCTAATTTCAATACGAACGGTGTCCAATGGTGGTTTTGATGGTTCCACGAAACTGTAGTTTATCTTTTACTGCCAACTTCGAGATTGCAGAAAACTGTTTGAAAAACTGAAATTGAATATTTCCAGATTCGATAGTAACATTCTGAAATTCAAATATCTCCGAGGCTTCCAAATGGTCCCGATTAAATGGCATCATCTACTATTGGAGGTCTCTCATTCACATAAATTCGTAAAATTCGATCTTTCGCATGAAATCTTGGTTTTCTCCCACCATAAATCTTGTTTGAACTTTTTTGATAGTCGATCATTTGCTCTTTACACATCTGCCAAAGAATGGATGACACCGGAAATTAATATTTTCCTGGTGGTCTGACTTTTGATAATCCTGGAGCTTCAAAGTTCTGAACTAAATGTCTGATGATGTCGAATGAAGGTCTTATTTGTGTAAAAGGTTATGAAAGCAAAAAGAAACTAGTGTGTAAATAGATAGTCTTATGTATTCATTTTTTGTGTTTTGGTATTAATCCTGCTTTATTTGCATTCGTGCCTTAGAGTCTAAAAAATCTTAGAGTCTAAAAATAATGAATATTTGGGTAAAAATTATATTTGACTTTAATGTCAAGAGTTGTCTCATATGTATCCCAAACAGTTCTATGAAGATCATTAAATTGAGATTAGGCTCATAAGGATTCTATGTGTCACCTTTCATTGTAATCTTATAGTTAGGATATTATGAAGCATAATAATTTATGCTGGAAGTGTTATTTTTCAGTGCAAATATATATTGTTGTTATTGAACATCGATATATTCTATTTTCCCGTCAAAGCTATGCACAAAATTTATGTGAAAAGCCGAGCTAACATTTTCCCACACATGGTATATTTATCTCACAGGTTGTGAAATCACTGACTCAACATTCAATTATTCTTTCCTATTTCCAATTCTATTAGAATTAACAGTTTGCAAAAAAAATTCCCTTCGTGATGTGTCTGTCGAAATTTCAGTTTCAATTCTAACCGAAAATGAAATCTTATGACAATAATTGTATAAAATTTGAATGACATTTCACTGTTCTCGTCTAGTTTGCCCTTCTTCGAAAATAGGTTTTTGGTGACGAAACGAGATGAGGTTTGTTTCTGAAAATGTATCTAATTGATATGTGATTTGAGATTACACTTTAAAGGAACTTTATAAGAACAAACTTCAGGTCGTATCCCAATATTTTCCGTAGTTCATGAAAAAAAAATTTCCCATGATACTATAAAAATACAATTGATAAAAACAAAATTTCGTATTGGTTCTTTCACACGAATCCCTGAAAAATAATTCTCTAGAGAAAACCAATCCTCCTCCATTTCCTCGGTATTTCTTGATTTGATCGTTATCTGTCGCGGTTTGGGATTGAGGGGTGATGAGCCCACACTCCTAGCGAACCGTGACTGCTATGCAACCCTTGGCTCCTTCCATTGAGGTGATAGACAACACAGTGATTGGTTCACACGGGTTTATTGAATACAAGCTGGGTAACTGAGACCCCAGAGGGATACAATGGATGTTAGTGAATATGGCGGCAAGAAGGGGGAGCGAGGGAATGAGCGACCATCCTGCATGCCTGCAGGTTGGAAGAACTGACTGGGATCATGATGACAATAGGTCAGTGATAGGGGATGCGAGAGACGCAGAGACAAGGAGGGGAGAGAGCATAGAGATTAGAGAGAGTTTGTCTGCCTCTGGTTGACGGTTGGTGTTTCTCCTTGGCGCGGGTCCTGTAGAGCAGTCTCAGTGGAGCGCACCTCCTGGTGGGCGAGAGAGTGCGCGGAAGTGAGAGACGCAGTCTCCTGTGGGCAGCTTGGCACGTCTAGAGGCGCAAACATATTATTCAATTGTTTTTTGAGGTTACGATTGCTTTTTTTTTATTTGATGGCTTGGTCTAGACATACTTTTGGGGATTTATTGGAAATTAGGTGTCGTGTTAACTCCAAATTGTTCTCGAAAAATCCAATAACTTCAGTTTCCTATAAGAGTCGGGTTTCCCATTATTCATTTTCAAGATCATTGCACTTCTGACTAGTCAATCCCACAGAATGTATCGTTTCTCAAGAAACCTACAATTCATTTTCAAGTCACACTCTGTTTTTGTGCACCAAATCAAAAATGTAGGAATATAAAAATGACGCCATCGCCATTTGTCTACACTATTCCAAAAAGTTCATGGGAATGTGAATGGATAGGAAATAAGAAGATCCATCTCCTTTCTCTTCTCCTTCTCATTCTCAAGTGTCGACTCCCTAGTCAAATTGGAGGAGTGCTTATAATTATTCGTGGATTTTTCTTACTTTCTCAAATCCTTTTCCTTTTTCATCTCGATGAAACCGATCTCTTATTCATTACCCTCTCTGTCTGAATATTTTTTCCAACGAAAAGTCTATTGGGGCGTTGTGGTGTGCGGTTATGTCATGAGCAACTATTTGGTTTCCAGAAACATTTCTCTCGTGCTTACCGATATGAATTATTTACAAAAAGAATAGCATGTCCTAAATCTCAAAATAAATTCATAGGAATCATTGCTCAGATATTCCTCTATTTCCAACTGCCCTTTTTCACCTGTCTTCGCCCACCTGCAGTGTTTAGAAATTTGTGTTTTCTTGTTGGACTGCTGTTCATAAACAAAGAAAAAGATTCCCATATACCCATTTCTAGGAACACGTCTCAGGAACCTTGATCCGTGACCGGATCCCCAATTCCCACAGCCAGTCTAGTCTAGACAAAGAAGGACTCAGTTGGTACAGTTGGAAAAATTGGGTTTGTGTATTTTGATTGGAGCTGTTGTTTTTCTGGAAAAAAATACACTTAAAATTCTAGGCAACGAAAATCCGAAGAACGTAAAAAAGTGCACTAAAAAAACTTTGCCCATTTGAAAATCAAGTGATAAAAGTAAGATATCACTCGACAGCTTTTTTTATAAATTCTTGGAAAAATTTTATTGAATTCCATCTCAAAGAACAATTCCTGACATATTCCATATTCCACCTGTAAAAAAGTAATGAAAATTCCATAAAAACTTCGAAAATTTTGAAATTTCAGAATTTGACCCGGACTGCCCGGGCCTGGCCGGCCCTGACCGTGCCGAGCTGGAGAATTTTTGTTTTTGACCAAGTATTAACGAAAGAAATAACCCATATACTCATTTCTAGCAACACACCCTCGATCCGTGACCGGATCCCCAATTCCCACAGCTAGTCTAGTCTAAACAAAGACAAACTCAGTTGGTACAGTTGGAAAGTAGAGTTTGCGTATTCTGGTGCGATCTCATTTTCTATGTCACCTGTAGTCATTTTTCAAAAAAATACTCAAAATTCTAGGCAACGAAAATTCGTAGAACGTTTAAAAAGTGCACGAAAAAAACTTTGGCCGTTTGAAAATCAAGTGATAGAAGTAAGATTTCACTCGTCATCCAACTCATCAAACTCTTCTTCTTCCTCTCGAAATGTGTCACATTTTTCTTCATCCATTCAATCTTGTTCACCCATCATTCATTTTTTTTCGCTTCTCTCTGGACTCAGAAATTGTCATGTTGATTCTGTTTTTTTCTTGTTCTTCATTTCTCTCTCATGTTGCACAGATTCCTGTCACTTCATTTCCTCCTTCGTCTTACTTCTCCAGATTCATTCCAAATCGAGAACGGATACTCGAAAACAAATCTACTCTCGAGAGAAGTTGTGAGCAAATATTTTTCTGTTGAATTGGCCACACTCAATTCCGTATTTTTAGAGCCTATCTCTCTCTTTTTCATGAACCTCCAATTGTTTTTGGTCCCTTTTCTGGGAGCAAAAATAATGTATTCTCCTGAAATACAAACTAATCGTTCTGTTTTTATTCCAGTTACTTTAGAGTTAGGAGACATTTTTTCGGATCCCAATTTCATCAAAAACACCACACATCTCAAAATAGGACCATCTCGAAATTTCTAGACCTCGATGAACTATGAATAATTTACTTTGTTAGTTTTTTGTTCTTATTTTGGTGGTTTCCAGAATAGAGGGAGGTCCCAGGAATAGTGCAAATAACATCTGAATAATTTGTCGAAGAACAACAAATTAGTGGTATAAACAATTAAGACAAATATTTATTCCATCTGAAGATTGATCGTTTTCTCGTAGAAAAAGTATAAACAAAAAACTAGAAGAATTTTCTCTTGGAGCTGTTTTCTTGTTTTTCATTGTCATCCACTTCTGGAATCGAGTTTCAGAAGTTTTGTAGTTAACTGAATGTTGTATGATATTTCTGGTGCTCTGTGATTTCTCTTGAATTTTCAATGTATTCTAATTTTGGTTTAGTGTTTACTTCGGGTGACGGCTCTTTTGGCATTAGAGCCAGTATTTATGAAAATTAAATTTTTAGAAATCCTAAACAAAGTTATCGCCCAGAATATAACATCAGGTTTATCGAAAACAGCTGAAACATATTTTCAGATCACCCTGTTCACGTATCAAAATATCAAACCACAAAACTTTGTTGAATTTCTGACACCTCACCTGTTTTCTTTATTTCCTGGACCGTTTCAACGGAGGAAAACAAGAAAAAAAAACAATTACTCTTTTTTCTCATATCTTGTTTTCCAATCAAATATTCTCGAATGTTCAGACAATTTACTCAGATATTCTAGTTACAAAAAAAATGCGATTAATCTCATAACCCTCTCATTTTCTGTTTTTGGATAAGGCTAGAAATGTGAGTTTCAATTTTAACATAAAAGATGCTAACCATAAAACCGGATCTTATACTCATAAAATGACGTCTTCTCCCATTTTTCCCATTTTTTCCTGTACCACTAAAATGCCTTCATTTCATATTAATTTACCGATGGGTCTTCCTCCTTTCGCAAAATAACTTCTCCGCCTCTTTTCTCCAGGAGAGAAAACCCATAAAGTCGGAGCAATTGTTCTGTCAAACGGTCATTCTGTAGCTCCTAAGATCTTTTTCTATTCTATCCTTGCCGGTTTTTCTTTCTATTTTCATTTCGCTCAACTCTAACCAGCTTCTGTCTTTTCTCGTTGTTCTTTGTGTCAAAAAAGGGTTGCCAAATGAAATTACCTGAAAACTGAAACAAGAGAAAAAGAATAAGTCCAAAATGGGAATAGAGAAAAAACGAAACGAAGGGAAACTCCAACGAGTTCACAGATAATCATGTTGGGTCCGGATACGTTTCGGCTTCTGAAAGCTTTTTTTTTCACTCTGAGAGGACGAATGTTCTAGACTTTTTGTAGTTGTAGAAGTGCAAAAGTTCAGTTTTTACGGTCAGGTTATTTCTGGACACTGTTGCTGGATCTTGAAAGGTCTTGTTATATTTAGAAGCCGAGCTGCCCGTTTCTAAAAAAATGAACTTTGGCTACGTCCCGCTAGTGTCATTGCACAGTTCATTGTCATTTCTCTATAAATACAGTAAACCTGTAATAGAAGGGCCCCAACACTGTCAAGAGTGAGCTGATATTGCTTAGCTCCTATGCATGATATCCAAAAAGTGTCAATTGATGAAATTCTTGTGATATTTAGATGAACAATTTATCAGTTGGCAACATTTTTATATCTTTGACAGTAACAGAGAAAAATTATCTCAAAATCAAAAGTTAGGGCGCCTATATACTTCGGATCTTACGGTAGTTACGCAAAAAAAAACCATTCATTATTCTCGTCCGGTGAAACATATTTTTGATTTATAGAAAACCTATTGAAAATATAATTCTTGTCGGAAATGCATCGACAAACTTTGTTATTTTTTTCTGATTTCTTCCTTCTCGAAATCAATGGGAATCAGAATCATATTAGGTTGGTTATAGCAATCAAATTTGAGTTCTGATCTTTCAGAACCAAGTTCACAGATCTTTGGTACTTTTTTCTCTTGGGCTCAGGTTCATTTTCCTCTAAATGCCAAACATCGCTGTTCTATTGGATTTACAGACAAAGAGAAGGAACATCCAAGGTTGGTCGTTGATGTTGACCTAGAAGAATTGGAAATACTTTCCCCCCCAAAAAAGACATTCATCATATTTCAAACATTCCCAGTCCTTTTTGGTTTTCTGACAACCCGTCTTCTACTAATCCTTGCACCCTTTTTTTCAGTTAGCTCCTCCTTTTACTTCTTACCACCTTCATATACATATACACCCCCACCCTCACATATGCTTTATTCTTTTCTAGTTTCTTTTTTCAGCAATCATGCAGTCTTTTTCATTTATCCATTTTTCCTCTTTTCCTTCTTTCCGTCGGAGTACTCGGAGCCTTCCTTCTTCTGACTCCGCCTCCACAGAGCTTCCTCTCCTCCACTTTTCTGGAGAGAAAAAAGTATCGTCATTCTCTTCCAAGTACTTCACTCGGCTCATTCAAAATTTTCTACCTTTCCTTTCGTTTTTTTCGCTTTGTTTTTACTATTTCAGAAATCTTTGCCATAGAAACTATTGTTCTAACCCAACCATAATCGTTTCCTTCTCTTTCCATCCATTTTTGGCTTTTTCCTTGGTTTCGAGAAAAAATAGAGATTCCTTCGATATCTCAAAAAAGCAAATTCTAATATTTCCCCTTAATTCCGGATAATCATTTCAGATGAATCTCACAAATTCAAGTATAGAATATCCGCCTCCACCACTGGCGGGAGCATCATTTGCCAAAACCGCGATACCGTATTCGATATGTTTTGTTTTCGGAACTCTCGGGAACACTGCTGTTCTCTCCTACGTGTTTTTCATCACGAGGTAAGTTCGGGGTATCCAGATGGGACCGTTTTTAACGAGACTCTAGGGACAGCGATAAAAGTGTTTATTAAAAACATTTGAGGGGAGATGACAGAGTTCTTTGCAATATTGTAAAGAGGGAAGTTTCTAAAAAAAGTTGTTTGAGAACTTCCGGGGGGAGAGCAGACATAATTGCAGTCAGAAAGATCCGGATGTTGCGTGCGAACTGACCTTTTTGAAAACTCAAGAATGGAGTTGGAACAAGAATGGGGGTTGGAATTCAGTGTTTTGACGGCATCTGGGTTACAAAAGAATTGTTAATGTTAGTGAACTTTTCAATGATGTCCGTTGACCTATGACCTAAGCTTTGTCCTGTAAAAAGAATTCTGAATTTCATAGACACTATTTATTTTCAGATCCCTAAAATCGTCAGTGACTGCTCTCGGGAACACATTCATCTACATCGTTGCCTTATGCGCAGTTGACCTTCTTGTTACAGTATCTATCCCATTATCACTATCCAACAGTATCCTGAACAACTGGGTTTTCGGAGAACTCGCATGCAAGATCCACTGGATGCTTGAGCTGTCTAATAAGGTTTGTGTGTGAAGTTTGGTTCCCGCCACCCACGCTGGTAATCCATTAGAGAGATCTTTTTGTCTTTGGCCCCTTGATTTTATGACACAGAAAATTTCAAAATGGCACGCAAAGTTTTATATATGTGTTGGGGTTGTGTGTTAATTCCAACACAAGATCCGATCCCGGGGATGTTGCTCATTTCTCGTTGGCGTGCCCAGTAGCGGCTCATTTTATGTTCCTCTCTTCTTCTCGGAAATTGAAATTGGATTCTTGTGACGATATAGGGATAAAAGAAAACGAAGCACGTAGCTCTAGAAAAGAAGAAGAAAAAGCAAAAAAGGAAATCTGCATTGTTAGCTTTGGGAGATAATTTGAGTTTTAGTACTAATTTCGATGTGTCATCGTTTTCTTTTCTTTTCATTTATTTTGCTGGAAAGAGAAGGAAAATGAAGAAATGTGATTTTTATGAATGTGAGAAAATTGGCAAGTCATCTTCATTGAATAGGTCAATATGGGCGGCCTTTTTATAGAATCAGCCATCGTTTTTCCGTTTTGATGAAAGAGAAGAAAAGTCCGGAAAAGGGAAAAAGGAATGACTAGAAAACTGGTGGGTAGAAGACTGGGGATGCACTAGTAATTATTATGTGGGCTTCGCGAGTACAACGACGTCGTCACATCCATGCATTCACACAGAAATAGAAGAAAGGGACACGGATTGTCTTGACAATTGAATCAGCCAATCTTTTTTTCCTCTCGTCACTTTTCTTGTCTCTGGCGATTTCGAAAATGTCTGAAGGCCCTTGGGATGATTGCAATACTCGGAACCTTCTATTTTTTCTTTGCTGATGAACTAATTCAATTTGGAACTGAGCAAAGAAAAGGGGAACGATCGAAAAACATCCAAACAGACTGAGGCTTCTATAAATGCTCAGAATGACTTAGGATCATAGTTTTCAGATACTCATTCCCTTGAAAGCTTATGTAAAGAAAACGGAACTCGGGTCCAGAGGTTTCTAGTAAAGACGTCCTTGTGAATGTCTAATAATTTCGACCTCCGCTCTTTCTACGGCTTGTCAAATATTTGTAGCGATTTCTGATTCTGAAACGTGCATAAATATATACAGAATGATTGAGAAACTTTTGAGATCAACCTAGATAGCCGGTTTTATTCGACCCTTTTTTCAGTTTAGCTCAATCATACGTGCTAAATTCCGGCCTGACGCACCGACCCGGATGATGGATAAATTTTTGTTAAAATGATTATATTGAAGTTTCGGAGCCCAGTTTCCTTCTTAAAGGCTCTCAATCCATTACAAATAAATTCTTGTACAATAACCACAAAAATCCAGATTTCTGTCAAAAATGATTCCGTCTAAATTTTCCCTCCAAAGAGAAGGGCCGGGCCGGTAAAAATTCTTCCCCATCGGCTGTCCGCGACATTTATGAGCTCAATAACTAAATAGTTCAGATGTGCTCGACATTCATCCTTACTGCATTAGCGTTCGATCGATACATGGCAATTTGTCATCCGGAAATCAAGCGAATCCACGAGATGCGTCATACAATTTACATTACGACAATTCTTGCAACATTGTCATTTTGTCTCATCTCTCCGGTCGTTTTATCGGCACGAGTCACAAGTTTCAATAGGATGGGATACTACGTTAGCACAAAGAATGTAAGTGAATGCATTGGATGTGGAGGAGTCATTTGCAGATGCAAAAAAACAATCTCCTTCTTTTCCTCTTACGCTTCTTTCATTTCTTTAAAATTCACTTCATTTCCAGGAACGGCACGAGGTGATCCGCCAAATGTGCACTGACGGGATGACTCGTGAATGGAAGCTTTGGGTTTCGGCCTTCCTTATCTTCTTTGCATTCCTTTTGCCATGCACTCTTCTCACCTACTTTTATGCCAAAATCGTGCTTCGTCTAAGAAGACAAAGAAGGTACTTTTTTTTGGAGTGATGAGTCAGCTCTAGCTAAGAATCGAAGATTTCCGAAGAACAGGTGCCAAAGAAAAGAAGAATGAAAAATGGGACCAAAACAAGACAAGGGTTAAAATGAGAGAAATGACAAGGAGCTAGTTGGGAATACAAAAGAGTTTTGAGGAAAAGTGGGAATATTACTTTTTGTCTGAAATCCTTAGAAATACCAAGCAAAAAAAATCCTTGCAAATATAATATAATAATATAATACTTTATTGATTCAGGACTATCAGTCACTTATAAAATCAATGTGTTACAAATTAAACAAATGAGTTAGAAATTATGTTCGTCTAGGAACAGGAAAGAAGATAAATTAACATGACTTAAATTAGTTTTAAAAGAGATGGATGAAATCAAGGGTGGGAACACGGTTTTTGGAAGCGAGTTCCAGCAGGATATAATACGGAGAGTAAGAAATTGAGCAGAAAGTTTTGAAGCATTTTTTAATGTACAGCGAATGTAATATGGGTGGCGTCTTAGATGATTATGATGAAACGGGACAATAAATAGATTATGGGCAATTGCAATTTCCCGGGAAACTAGAGTTTTATACATAAAAACTAGATCGGATAGAAGTCGACGGTACTCTAAGGATTCTAAATTGTGATCACGGAGACAATCAAAGTAGGATATATAGGGATAGTTGAACTTCTTGTAACATCGGAACAGGAATGACTTTTGGACGCCTTCAAGAAGCTTGATTTGCTCCTTGAGGACGGGGGAGAAAACAATTGTACATACTCAAGAATGGGGCGAATGTAGATGACAAATCATTTTACGAAAATATCCATTTTAGACAGGCGGAGAACATTAAAGAAAATGTTAATTCGTTGGTGTGCTTTCCGGTAAACCAATACTTTTTCAGAACAATGCTGCAATCCCGAATCCCTCTCCGACGCATCACCATATACACCATGGCTGCCACGTTCTTCTATCTATCATGTCAAATTCCGTTCTGGATTCCACAAACCTACGGAGTCCTCGCCATCGTTCTCGGCTTCAAAGTCAACCCGAGATTCATGACATTCACCTATTATACCCATCTCCTTCCGTTCATATCTGCTGCCTTTAACTGGATTTTCTATGCCCGTCTCAATAGTCAATTCAAAAAAGGACTCGTTCTGGTGACTGAACGGATGATCAGAAAACGGACAAGATCGTTGCATCAGAGTGATAAGGGGTACAGTGAGGCTGCCGTAGAGTTGACTGGGAAGTTCGACGATGTCCCACTGATGTGTCCTCATTGTGAAGCTCAACTTTCCATTCGGTCAAGCAGCAATGGGAAGAAAACTTCCAGATGACTATAATTGCTTAAAGATTTTTACATTTTGTTTATATTCCCTGTCTTCCAACTTTTTTTTGTATCATTAAACGTTCCATGGTCTAAACTGAATCTCAAAAAACTTCAACTCGGGAAGTGAATCTAATTCCATCGCTGTATGTTCTTTGTACGGGAGAAAATGCTTTTGTTTATAATTATAATAACCACTTTTGATGACAATGAACTTGTTTATCCACTATTTTTAAATACTCTTTCAATTAATAATTCGATCTTCCACTTCGACGAGCTTTCAACATTTGCATTACTGACGAAGATAAATAGCCAAACAGAAATGAGGAACTAGCAACTTTTTTAGTGGAAGAATTCATCTGGAAAGATACGTAAATAGACAAGCATGAATTTGCAGAAAATATAAGAAGATTCTCGTAGATTTGCAATATTCGAAAGGGCATCTAAAAATATTTTGATTAGAAGAACATGGCGTCATTTTGAAAAAATGGGTCCCATTTAGGAACTCACGTGATTGGCTATTAAATGGAAGTGTGCATCCCAGTGTGTAATCATGGAGGAATTCGCAAAAGACCAACTTTTCTCTTAATCTGGAGAGAAATCTGAAACAGAAAGTAGGTTTTTCAACTGGACAGGACCAACTGGAAATATTGAATGAGTTACAACATCAGAAGACGGTTACATTATTAGAAGTATACCGTAGAACCTGTATTAGAAGAACCCATCTAATAGAAGGGTCCCTTCTATTGGAAGGGCCCTTCGAGGGAGGCTTTGAAAAAGAGAAGGCCCCCTGTAATAAAAGGGCCCTAAGGAGTTACCTTGAAACAATAAAAGGCCGGCCCAATATATAAAGGTTTTACTGTATCAATTCAGAAATCTCAAATCCCAAGTCCCCGTAATCTGAAAAGACTTTCGTAAACCTCAGCTAACTTTCTCTCCAATTCGTATAGATTACATGAACTAACATCTTCATTCATAATTAGTCCAAACTGAAAGTTTTTAGGAAGTTTTCATAGACGGATTTCAGAATCCTTCAGTGATGTAATCTTTTCCGAGGAACCTGTTTTGAATTAGGCTTTTGAAAAGATAAGATTTTGTGTTATGATGCTTATATAGAAGCAATTAAGATGAAGTTAATTTAAACAAGAAGTGGTTATATAGCTATGAAAATCGTTACCGTATTTCTAATGGAATCCCACCCAAATCGTCAATTTTTCATTCGAATTATTTTTCTTCTTCTTTATTCGAATTATTTCTCTTCTTTTTTTTTCTTCTTTTTTAAGTCACTTTTTTTCCCGTTTATTTTTTTGAAACCGAAACTCTTTAAAAATGTTCCTTATCGAAAAAAAAAACGCTTCTCTTCCAATATTTTTCAGTTTCCTGGTTGTTTGCTATCCGAGAACCTGTTGTTGCCATTCAATACTCATTCAATCATTTATCCGAAATCTTGATCAAAAACACATCCCGAATATTGCCGAATATTGCATCTCTATCTTTTCCTAAATCGACGGTTAGCGAGATAAGAGAGCGGGATTGCGCAGGTGAAGCCGTCGACAACATCATCGGGTTCTTCTCCTTCTTCTTCACTTTTTCGGAATGAAAAATCGAGAACAATGGCGGAGGAAGAAACTAGCTAGCAAGTTTTGGGGTGTGTGCCAGTGACTACAGATGATAACGCATTTTTGACGTCGCGTACCGTACGTATAAAAGCATCCGAGATTTACCTGGAACGAGATCCAATTGACGATGCTTGTTTCTTTCCAATATTTTATCAGGATTTCCTTCCTTCAATCCATCGATTCATTCATATCAAAATCATTACTGACTTCCACTCAAGACATTTTCTAATTTAACCATTTTACCTATGCATCTTATCCTGAACTGTGACGTAGCAACTGAAGCGATAATTCTATCTAAACAAACTTGTCTTCTGCCATGCCATTCATCAGGAGTATAATGAGTAGTCGATTCATCGTCGTTGTCTATTACATAACCGCCCATCAAATCAGATATGTCCACTTTTACTCAAATTCCTTATCTATGCTTCAAATGATGTTCTCGTCTCTAACTAATCCTATCCACTACTGTCATGGACAAAACCGGACAATCGTCTCTTATCATTATCAATCAAGCATTTTGCGCCAAAGACTTCTACCGATCGCCCCGCCGCTAACCGATCGGTTTTCCTCTCTTTTTTTCACTAGTTTCCAGGGAGAAGCATGTTGGCTTCTCCTCATTGCTTCTGACCCAGATCAAAATCCACCTCAATGAGATTCGGTATAGTGCAATAGTTGTAAAAGTAATTGGCATCATCGGGTTTTTCTCCTTCTCATCTTTTCTCCACCTTCTTTCCTCTCCTCACTTCTTCATCTTCATCCTCATTCATTGTTGTTTCCAGAATGCTATTCCGACTTGTCTCCACACTTCTTCTTGCTCAAACCACATCAGCTTTCTTCTTCGGAGGCGGTGGTGGAGGTTGTGGATGTCAGCAAGCTCCAGCCTGTGCCCCACCACCAGCACCAGCCCCATGCTCAGGAGGAAACATCGTTCAAGGATACGTCGGAGCTCCACAGCAGGGAGGGTACGCCGCCGCTCCACAATACCAACAAGGAGGATACGCTGGAGCTCCACAACAATTCCAACAAGGACCAGGACCAGCTCCCTACCAACCACAAGGAGGATACCAAGCTGGGCCAGCTCCAGTTCAAGCCCCAGCTGGAGGATATCAAGAACCAGTTCCACAAGCTCCACAAGCACCACAGCCACAACCAGCTGAGGTTGCACCAGCTCAAGTTCAAGCTGGTGGAAATTATCAAGAGACTCCAGCTCAAACCGCTGGAGTTGATCCAGCTCAACAACAGAGCGCTGTCCCAGAAAACGAAGCTGCTTATACTGGAGTGAGTTTTGAAGAAACACATAAAAATGATAAACTGTGGGTTTTTAGGAAGAACAAGAAGTTGTCGCTTCTCTTGCCCGTGAGGAGCCAAACTACCAGGTATGATGCTTCCGCTTTGATTTGCCGTAGTGCTTGCATGATCTTGCTTTAAACTAACCTAATCATAGTTTCGCATGCTCTTTAAAAATGCTTTTCTGCTTCTCAAGCATCCACTTGCACGAAATCATTCCTGAAAAAGGACCGAAGCTTTTCTATCTGCTGATAACCACACTGCTTCACTGCATGCTCTCACTTTCAGAACACTGGCACAAATGTGGTTGAAGCCGATCAACACGCATCCGAACTCGGAAATCAGGTACGGGTTTTCACTCTAACAATAAGCTAACTGCATGAATGGTTGATTACTTTGAAAATTATTTTGAATGTTCTAGTCTTTTTTAACTTGTTAGTTACAGGATACTTCAGGCTAACTTCTAGATTCTAAACATCTTTAAATTTTATTTCCAGGCTGCCGCCGCTGCTGCCAAGGTTGCTGAAGTCGTCGAGGAGGATGATGAGCCAATCAAGAAGAAGGATGAAGGAAAGACAACCAAAGTGAAGACCGTCAAGACCCCAGCTGCTTCTCCTGCTTCTTCTACCACCACCGCCGCATCTTCCTCCACTTCGACTGAGTTCCCAGTCGGAGAGGAAATTGTTCCAGACACCAACGAGAAGGAGGTCGATATCAGCGAGCTCCACCTCACCGATGACCCACTTTGCAACTCTGATGACTTGAGAAAGGTTGTCATCGATGTAAGTTTGTTAAAACCTGTTTAATTATTGACCCAACAGATCTGTAAAACTGTTCAAACAGATGTTTGACATCCTTCCAAACCATTATATTTCAGAACATTGACGACCAATTGAACAGCTCGAAGAGAATGATCCAATTGGCAGCTGAGGCGCAATTCGGAGGACGGTTTGATGTGATTTGCGCAAATGGCGATTTTAGGTAAAAGGGGGACTATGGGCAGACGGTTATGGCGTCATTTTACGAGCGTCCGAATATAGCATAAAATCCATTGAGAACACGGTTCAGAATCATTAAATATTTGCAGCTATGTGACAAACACAGAGCTCTATTGCCAAGAGACAAAGGGAGATATCTCGTGCTACACCTATCGTCAATTGTAAAAAAGAATCATCTCATTCATCAGAAACAGTGCAATATAGAAAGGAAAATGTGTTTTTTGTTTTGTTTTCATTTCTTTTCTTTCGTGTCTTTTAATAATAAAGTATTCACTTAATAACATCAGCTTGAAACCAAGAACATATATCGCATATAAATTTATTTTTTGATTCGGCATGATTTGAAAGAGGGGACGGAAAAACAAGAAATACATGGAAGAGGTTTTGAGGCTAGGAGGAAAATGAAAAATCAACCAAAAAAAAGACGATAAATATTATCTGAAAGCATTGATATTGGGAATATTTTTGTTGTTTTTTTTTGTGCTCAAAAACTGTTTGATTTTAAAATAGGGAGTCACAGCTCTAATAATCGTAGAGCATCACCGTACAAAATGCGAAATCATTGAGAATCTGAAAACGCTTGAAGAGAAGGGGATTCAGGCTACACAACATAACTAAAACATGGGGAACATTGAGGAAGAGGGGGAAACAAAATTGAAAGATCCCTGAACTGATAGGTGGTGGAGACGTTGGGGGTGCGAAAAAGTATGTTGACGTTTGGAAATGAAGAAGAAGACGGAACTCTGAAAGATATGACATGTGGTTTGAAACATTATACCGACGGGCTAGGCCCGGGAGGCAAAGCCAGATTAGATGGAGTCGGATTAGGATGGAGAGAACGAGACATACGTTCAATTTAGGTTTAGGAGAAAGGAAATAAGACGGGAAGAAGGTACTAATAGAAAATCTCAGATTGCAGACCGAAAATATGAAATACAAAAGATATTGGAAATTATTTTGATACGAAATCAGGATTGTTTTGGGAATAGATCCTTACCTTTCTTGATCATTTACATCACGCAGAAGACAGCAGCAACGAGTGGAGCGAGGATGGTGACAGCTGAAATTCATGTTTTTACAATTAGTGATAGTAATGTTTTTGAAATCCTTTTATTTTTTCTCTAGATTCCCGACCTTCCAATTCTATCCATAATGTTAATGAGCATGGTTTTTGGGTCCTCACCTGCCCCTAATCTCAACGGGTTAATCCGTATTTTGCCTCAAAAAACCTCAGGCACCTGGTCCGATACAGACCATTTCAATACCAGCCTAATTAGACACGGGGGCAGTACTAAACGAGTGCGATCATGCGGCAAAACAGTTCGCTTCATCCCGAAAAAAGGTTTCATCAGAAGGATTCATTAGCCAGTCTGTTTCATGTCCTTTTGCCTTCAAAACGACCGGAGGGGACCCCCCCCCCCCCCCTCCCCCATAACGAATAGTCAATTGTCACGCAATTTCCGGGCGCTCTTGTTTTCAAAGAGATCGTGGGGGAGGTCTGCGAATCCTTATGTGCCTTCAATTTTGGAAAGAAATGTCCAAAATGTTTCTCTTTTCGGATGCACTTCTTAGTGTGAGTGCAAGAGACAGATAGAAGAAGAAGAAGGGCACCTCGAAAATTCTAATGATGTGCTTCGAAATCCCCTATGGGTTTGACCTTAAGAGCTCAATGTCCTTCTGTCTTCCTTCCGGTGCTCATCTATACGATGGCATGAATATGAAGTCTGGATTTTGACGAAATGGAACAAAATGTCGTCTTTGACAAAGATCGGAATGTAGATTATGTTCCCATAAAAGTTCTACTGATTTTTTCTTGGTCTTCTGCCTTGTACAATTGCCTGAACTAGCCATTTTATAAGACACGTGTCTCTCAGTGTGCACCTGCTTATGGCCATAAATGTATGGTCTTGATTAATGATACAACCGATTACCTATTGAGAGGATTAATGTGAATCAGAGGCTCGTGTCTTGTTCCCTTCCCCTTTTAGAATAATTACCACGGCATACCTTGGTAAGCGGCGTTGATGGATTCGTACTGTGGAGCTGGGGTCGTGGTCGTCGTAGTCGTTGTGATGAGCTCTGTGCAGTTGGAGAACTTGCAAACTCCCAATCCACTTCTTCCGTCGTCAGTTGGAGAGCAATCGGATTCCTTGACTTGGCACCTGTCTCCGTTGTTTGGGTCGAATTGTCTATCACAGCACATTGTGAATTGAGAACAGTAAATTTCTCCATTTGGTGCATATTGAGCCATGGTTCCACAGAATTCAGTCTGGTCTCGGACAGTTCCATCCCATTCATCTTCGGATTGTCTGGAATAGAGAAGATAAGAATTCATCCGGATTCTTCTTATCTAGAACGTCTCATACTTGCATGTCTAAAGACCAAAGTTTTTTAGACATTCTAATGACTACTATTTCAGAATATTATGAAAACTTACGCAGAAGCAAAAACTGCAAGGATCGCAACAGCGTATACAAGTCGGGAGTTCATTGTGAGTTACTTGGTGGTCTGGAAAAACAGGATATTTTTATAGATGTCGGAAATATCCAAAGAAGAAAAAATAAACGAGAGTAGCCGGTGGCATAAAAAAAGTAGAAGAAAAAAAGAAGAAAAAAAAGAGACCAATGGAAAATGTAATTATGCGGAGAGCCTCTCATTGCGTGTAATTCACTGTGATAGTTATGAGTTAGAAAAGGATGGGAAAAATACTTGAAGAGCGAAAAGAGAATATGGAATTTATTATTTTTCGGGGGCTCAGGAGTTGTGGAAGGAAATATTTATGAGCTTAGAAAAAAATGGGGCGGGACAAGAAAAAAGAAAAAGAAATAAACCCACAAGTAGGGGGTGGGGATACTTGTGGAAAGTGGAGGTTGAGTAATGGCACACGGGGCACAAGGAGCCAGAAAAAGAAATAGGAATCGTGGTGCTGGTGACGGGGAGCCAGAAGATCCATCATTGAGCGGTTTTCGAAGGGTTTCGCGTGCATTAAAATGAGTTGGGGACGATTGAAAGGAAAAGGGAATTTGAAAAATGAACTTTGAAGAAGAGGAGAGTTCCCGGATGAAGGAGGACACATGCCACCAGCAGGATAGGAAGAAATGAGAAAAAATGTGTCGCGTGATGAAAAAAGTGGGAGACGTCGACGACTCCACAATCTTAAATGTGCTGGTGCTCAATCGCGCGGCGGAGGAGCCCAGAGCCCGGCAACACCACCAGCAGCCGAGCAACAAAAAGTGCACAGAAGGGGCGGAGCCTCCCCGGGTCCCCCCGATGGGTGGGCAGCTGGCTTGATGCCAAAGAAGGAGGTGTGTCCCTTCTCCCGGTGTGTGCTCCTTTATCTCTCGCCTCAGAAAGATATCGAGGAAAAAGAAGGGTCCGAGGAGCACACAACGAACGAAATTGAGTTTGTTCCAAATAGGGCCGATGGACGATGTGAATGTGAATTTCGAAAAGAGAGCTAGAAAACGGAGAAGAAGACCCTCTTTTACACAGGAAATAGAGCCCTTCTGTCTTTAGAAAAGAAGAAAGCAGCGGAACGGAATGATTCGAAAAGTTAATCGAGAGAAAGTAGAAGAGAACTAGTGCTTCTTCTACTTTGTTAACTTTCCAGCAACGTCGTCTTTTTGTTCTTGGGAATTGAAAAATGCGGAAAAGATTTGCGAAACATTTCAATGAGAAAAGTGAGAAAAGATGGAGTTTCTTGGGATTAAACAACACTTTTCTCAGCTGCGGATTGTTGGTTTTAAAGTTTTGTGGATGCTTCTATTTGGATGAGAATCGAAAAGCCGAAATGAAAATCTCATCATCCTTCTCTTGTGACTAAGACTTCAAGGTTTTTCTGCGGGGCACCTCTTCTAGAAATTGAGGGAATTACGAAACCTCTTGTGGTAAATAACATAGAAAGGTCCAGAGGTCAGTCTTCTAGAAAAAAGAAGTAAAAAAATTCCCGAAAGTTATAGGTTGTTGTTTATGCCACCCAATCAGTTCTGATTCGTTATCAACTCAAGTGTGATACTTTGATAACTGGTTACTGATAGTACTGATTGCATAACTTTGACGAATGAACATCTATGACGTGACTTCATTTTTTTCAGGAGAAGAGAAAAAACCAAATAAACACCAAAATGTTTCAAGGCCTTCTTATTTTTCGTTTTTTCTGTTTCCTTACTTTTTTGAATAGAAAATGCTAATGTTGTGGGGGATTTGGTAGTGAAATGGAATGAAAGACGAAGCAGTAAAGACGAAACAGAAAAAAAAAGAAGGAGCAGATGGAGACAAAAACCGAAAGAAGCGAAATTTTGGTTTTGGTGTGGGACCCTGGAAAGACCAGGCGACGACGTCGTTTTGCTCTTAACGAGCCAAAGTTCGATGAAATACGAGCACATTTAAAGTTGTTGCAACTGGAAGCAGAACCAAAAAAGAGCATAGATAGCTCCACGGGTTTTCTGTTTTCAATCATAAGATAGCTCGGTAAGAGAGCTACAGGTTAATCCAATAAGCACACAAAGAACTAGAACCACACCGGGACCAAAGGTACTGTTCAAATATGGCGTATAGGTTGAGATATAGGTAAGAGGGGACGGACCATTCAATTACTGTTGACACTTCCGAGCGAAGGTCGTTATTTAGACAAAAAGAGAAAGATGATAACCTAGAAAGGTTTTTGGAATAGAAGAACGGAACGGCCAGAAATAACTTTTCTGACTTCCCAAGAAAGTAATTATTTGAAAAAAAGGTAGTTTCCTGTTGTTTAAAAACATTCTCATGGTTCTATTAATTTCTCTTAGTCAGGGAAAAAACAAAAGGTAGTAAATACAGTTTTTGGCGTCCAATTGGCAGAAAATCTGTTGACAATCGCGAGAATGGGGACAGGGAATAGAGCAAAACTAAGCTAGTATAGCACCGACTTATTCATTCATTCACACCTGAACAATGTGTTGGCGGAAGGGGGCATTCATCAAGGAACATTCCCCAAGAGAAGACAGTGGTGTCCATTTCGATCGGATGTGCTATATGCTTCTTCTCGGAAGAGGAGAAGCTCTCGTTCTCTCAATGTCCAGTAGTTTGTGGACATAGAGAGATGTTTTTGGGGGAAAAGGGGGAAACGACGGTCAGCTTGCGGCCTTTTTTGTTCCCCTTTTTGAGAAGTAGCCGGTGCACTTGATGAGTTGAGATTTATTTGATTTGTGACGACGACGGGGTCAGAGCTCTATATATCTCAGATCGGAGGAAAGGAGGAAGAGAGAAACTTTAGCCCTAATATGTGAGCCTCTTTTTGTTTGTCAACCGGAGATGACCCGGTTGTTTTTGAAAGAAGAAAAAGAAGGTCGATCTCCAAAAATGGAAGAGAATGACTCACAAAAGGGGCAGTAACCACTAAAATCGGCGGGATTTTCTGTGTTTTCGACCCTTTCGGGTGATGGCAGGATGATGGTAAAACCATAATAACCACGCAGGAAAGAAACAGAAAAAGAATCAGCGATACTCAAGAAAAAGAGGAAGGAGAAGTGAAGGATGTGGGAGGAGTAAAGAAGCAAAACAATAGAAAAAAGATGAAGGACAATGTATGACCGGGGAGGGGTATTCTTGAGTACAAGAAGGCCTTCCACAAGTGTGTGTCTTCTGGAGCAGTACCCACCACCACGGGGAGGTGTCAAAAGACAAGATTACCAAACATGTACATAGGTTAGCATTGCAAAAAATGGCTGCTTGTTCAAACAAAACAAAAAACTACTGGTGCTATATTATTCTAGATGGGCATTGGGTTTCAGGGAATGTTTTTCAGAGAATTGAACCCTCGTGATGTATCGGAAGATGTGAATGAAAACTATCACACGTCGAAGTTTAGATCTATTTGGATATGTCTAGACACATTTTGAACCACTTACTTGAGAGAATATGTTCAGTAATATTGTTATAACGTTTCTCTATCTGAGTCATGACACTGTAAAAAGAAAAACTAGTTATGTATCCACATACTAAATACACATCACTTTTAATCCGACTCGACAGAAGTCTTCATTAAAAACGACACCGGAATCATTGGCTGGCGTCAAAGTGCATCCCCTACCACTTGTCAAAATTGCAATTTCAATTGGGCGATGTTGCTCAAGAATCGGGAATCGAAGAAGTGTGAAGAGCAGCTAGGAGAATTGAAATAAAGAGAAGAAAGAAAAGAAGGCAGAGGATTTGAATGAAGAAGATTTCGTTGTCGAAAAAATTTCCAAAGTGAGGGTCAGAATGTGTCAAATACACGCACAGACACGAATACCAGAAAAAAGTGACACATGGTCAAAAAGCAATACAATTGAGATGAGTATGCAAGATATATGAGGGCCAGCATCATCAGTGAGAAGAAGAAAAATGCTTGACGCCTTCTTTTCTACATTAGCCGTCTGTCTGCGACTCTCCACGTGCCATGCTCTCGACCTAATTAAGGGGTTTGTTGGTAAGCAAGCGCAGCGCGAACATCTTACAGTCGAACATCGAATTAGGGGGTTGGCAATTGACACCTGTCTCTTTCTCTTCGCTCCTCCCGAGAGACATTAAAATCCCAAGGAAAAATGAGAGGAATAAAATGAGACATCCCATTCTAGTGACCCTTGAATTTGAAAGTAGCTTTTTGAAACGAAGATGTTGGTTAGATGTGGAGAGTAGCGCCAGAAGGGCGGGTGGGGGATGGAAGGCTTAGTTTCCCAACTTTACTTCCAAAATGACCATTTAGAGGAAAGAAAATTGAAACATAAATTTTATAAATGAACCAATTTAATTGGAGCGTTTTCGGGAATATATGGTCGTAAAGTAGGTAGTAGTTTCGCTGGTTTCATAGTTTCATATATTCTGGAATTGAAAATGGTTTAATTGGGTCAGACAGAAACTGTTCCTTCTGCCTACCCCATTTTTTGTTAATCTACGAATGCACCAACGCCAACCTCCTATTAAGCCAGCTGGCTCATTTAGTCTTATCATCATCACCATCTCCGCTTCCCCTCTTTCGTAACTTGTGCATAATTGAGGCAATTAGTACATTTTAGGCCCATCGGCAACTACTACCGGGATTAGTGACAATGGTATATCCGCGGCAATCGTCAAAGGAGTCATGGTGTGAAAAGAGACGTCAGAGGGATCAAGAATTGTCGGGACGGGGAATCGAGTCGCTCCGGAAATTGGCACCCACTTCCGGATGAAATGAATTCTCAAGGACAGAACGTTCTCTCTTAATCCAGGTTCTCTCGGAACTTCTATGTTTACAGATGACGTGCTCTTCTGAATGTTCTCAAGTTTCAATTAAGAATTCATGGTTCATCATTTAACGCTTCTCCTCATAGCATGATCGTCTTCTTCGCGCTGTGTTGCTCAACACCAAATTCCGAATTTCAATTCCACAACGAACCACGAAATTGAATTGTGCTCCAAGAGAAAGATGGAAGCAATGAGAAAAAGGAGAAGGAGGCTCATTCTTGATGTCTTCCTACTTCCATCTTCGGTAATTGGTGGGATCAAACGCAGTAGGGAAGCAAGAAAAGAATGCACACGAGAACTGGCTCATCAAGACCCCAAGACCTCCCTTTTTACTAATTGGAGCGCTTATCTTGTCTCTGCACAAAAGAGGACGTCATCCGGTTTGGAAGGCAGTTTGTGATGCGGTGCTTCTACAGAAGCCGTGTGTCCATATAGCTCTTTCTTCTTTTTTTTCTACACACAAAGTATCATGTTGCCATCATGATGAAGATGTGTTTGTTCAGCCGCTCACAGATGTGTGTTATCTTGACTTTTCGGGCCCGGCCTCTTTTTCAAAAAAATGCATTATGTTGGTATAGAGGAAGAGGGACTTCTTGCTAGGAGAAAGGGTCGAAAGGAAGTACGGTAATTGGAGCTTCCGCAGTAATTAAGTTATTGTTAGAGGAAAAAGTAAACGTTTCAAGTACTGCAGAGCTAAACTTCTATAGTTAGTGAAAGTAGTGAAGTTGGATAGGAACTCAGAAACTGAAATGACCAGCAAGAAATGGAAGCATTTTACTGTGAATCAATCATCTTCAGATTCAGCTGAGTTCTTTTCAGTTCTGAACAGGATTTCATAATATCCCAATTTCGTCATCGCCATCGCTTTTGAAGAACCGGGTAGAATTGAGTAAACTCTCCGGGAATAAAAGGCTACCTAAATACGGATTTTCTGAAGTTAATAGTTCATTTTTCGCTGAAGCAAAAATCCACTGCCCTCCCAACCATTCCAATCCCTCTATCGACACCATCCTACTACCTACAGAGCCAACCCAATGTTTGATCAACAAGTCGATCTCACATTCAAATTCAAATCAGAACCCTTCCTTGTCGCCACTCATCCGAATCTCGAACAGCGGGTTGCCCCGTTGTGTTACATATCGTATTTCAGCACCATCAGTATCCCCTGCACCACTCGGAAAGCCTCTCAATGTGTCAGCCGGTTTGTTTAGACACCTGCCATTCTTCACGAACAGCTACACCTACACCAGTTCCTTTTTTGTTAAAGGTCACGCATTTTTGAAGTTTTTTGAGTCTCGACCCTTTTTTGGAATCAAAAATCCGTGGATATGGAGGGAGTTGTTTATTCGGCTTGTGTAGGGGATCAGATCGGTTCCGCTTGACTTGAAAGAACTAGGGAGATTATGATTACAAGACAAGAAGCAAAGACATCTACTGGTAAGCTACCTGTACTTGTTTGCCAAGGTTCGGGGTTGGAGTAGCCAAAAACTTGAGTCAACATCGCGAAAAAGGGACCAAGACGGCAAAGTATAAGAGAGAAGTGGTCACTAGATGTCAATTGAGAAAAGAGCCTAGCTAGGAAAGGTGGTGTGTGATTGATGAAGAAAGCCGACAAACTCAGATGGCAATAGAAGAATGAGAAGAGGGTCATGGCAAATACTTGTGACTTGACAAAAGAAAAAAGAGCAACGATGATGATTAGGCCAATTTTGGAAGGGAGAAGTAGGAAAAGGAGAATTTCTCAAAAGTTGACTCTGAATAATGTCGTAATATGAACCTACAATTTGAAGTGAACTGAAGTGAAGTAAGCGTCTCTAGACTCTCATAGTGAAATATTCATTGCGTTTCGACATTATGTAATTCATGAATAGGCAACACAGAGGTGTACGAATTCAGGAAACTGGAAAATTAGCTATTTTGACTTCCACTTAACTCGCGTGTTCGCCACTTTTCGCTCCATTCAATTTTCAAAATACAGATGATAGAATGTGTCAAATGCAGGACGGATAGTACTCTCTATCCAAATCGTGACAACAGAAGCGAAGACACATCTCAACATCCATTAGTTCACATTTATCGAAACCGCCAATTTGGCCATATCCCCTCCGTTAACTGTGCGCGGTTGGCTTCTCTTTCAATGCACGCATGACTAATTGCGTGTTATGAGAGAGAAAAACAGGACGACGTGAAGGATGTGCTCATCTGGAAGATTTTTACTCGAATATCTACTTTTTCTTCAAGAATCAACCGTCAGATGGTTCAGGAGTTTTAGTGGGAGCAGAGTAAGGAATTTGAGAGATACATTATAACTTGGTAGAAGTTGCAGGTTTAATTTATTTAATTTTATAGGATCTGCTATATACCGTGAGTGAAACCTGTATCAGAAGAACCGGTTCTTCTGTTGTTCCAAGGTGTCTCCGGAGGGCCCTTCTGTTTTTCCGGCCATTTTTCCCGAACTTTTCATTCGAAAAATCTGGGTATTCTTGTTCAAAATTCATGAAAATCTATCAATTTCACCAAAATCAGGCGATTTTTAAGCAAAACGAGCGTTTCAAAAAACTTTGCGAAATTTTGGAATTTTGGAAGATCTCTCACTGAAAACGTCCGAAATGTTTTTTCTGAAACAACACATTTTGAAGGAGCCCTTCTATTTCTCCGAATTTATTTGGAGATCCCTTCTATTAGAGGTGCCCTTCTGTTACTTCTAATACAGGTTGTACGGTACATATTGGTCCTGTACGGGATATTATCAGATTCTCATTGAAGAATTTAAATATTAATTTCTGTTTTTGACCAGTGTTATCCTCAACCTATCCGAGTATATTCAACATTTGAACTACTGATTCAAATCTCCTGCTCAATTCAAATCAATCGTTATCAGTGTTCAAAAAATCAGAAACGGGACATTAGCACTCGATTAATTAGTTAGTACTGTCATGAATGATGATCACTTGATCTTTTTAGGATTCAAATGAACTTCTTTCAAATCGATAAGATGTTTACTAGGGAGAAATGGAGATGTGTGGAGAAGAATCAAGGAAGAAAACAACGAAGACAGATGGATAAGGGGTTTTTTTCGATTATTAGGAATAAATCGAATGTTCAAACTTGTCAAAAGTTGTAGCTTTATATAGGGGGATTAACATAATAAATAAAAACTTAATTGAAGGAGGTTACTGGTTTCAGATGTGATGAAATCTGAATATAAATCGAAAAATCAAGAAATCGTCTCCGGATTATGATGGTCGCTTATGATTTTAGCTCCTGAAAACTAGAAAAATATTAGTGTTTCCATTCACTTCCACCATCTGCCGATAGCAGTATAAATTTTTCGAGGGTCTGGAAGAAGATCCATGTTTCTTGAACTCTCCCATCTTTTCGTTTCTGATCGAACTTTTGTGTTTTCTGCTCCTCTGTTTACAATCTTCCTGCAAAAACTGTTGGGTAATTATCATTATTCATTATTCAAATTAGCCAACACGGCACATCTAACAAAACATCAGCACCCGAAACCCAATAAAAGGGGAAGGGGAATCACTGGAAAAATCAGAAATGACTCGTCTCATCCAAATCCTCCCTTTTTCCCTTTTTGCCTTCTGCCTTGCCCAGGAGGACTCGGGACTCTATGTCAATCGGATCAAGATTGAAACATTCCATAACAATCTCGGAAACGACAAAGTCTTCACCTACTACGTTGCCGATAGTTTTGACCAAAGCCAAAAGGATAACTTCAAGACTGAAGCTGGATCAATTGGAAACCTTTATGAAGATGATTATGCTGCCGATACTGCTACTTGCACCAACACCGAGTGTCCAAAGTTGCGTAGAATCTTCGCCCATGCCAATGCAGCCGACGGTTAGTAAGAATCATTTCAGATTTTCGAAGTAAACTCTGAATTTCTATAATTTCAGGAACTCGCATCATCGACGCTGATATCAAAACTAGAATTGGTGCCACTAGCGCTAAACCAATCGGATTTGTTGCTCCATACCCGGGATATTGTAGCTCTGACGACTCGCTGCCAATCATTGAAATGTACTCGGAGTCATTGAAAAGTTTGTTCAACCCTTCGAACTACTTAATCAAAGTCTCTATTTAGAATACGCCTATTGGTCTCCAGCTCAACCAGGTCAACTTGTTAACCTAGCTTCCACCACGGTTGATAAGTCAAGATACGATCCAGTTCGTCTCGTCGGGTATGCACTTTCTCCTGATTCGGAAAAACTTGTCCTCGAAAACGCACAGCCAGACTTTGTCAAATCGATCGGAAAGAGTAACTACGTAAGTTCAAATCGGTGAATAAAAACACATCACAATATTTCAGACTCATTCTTTTGCTCTCACTTACCAGATCATTCAAGGAACAAGTACTGAGGGCCTCGCCAACATCGTCGGCCCACCTATTGTTGATCAGCAAATGGGCGCCTCTAAGCAGCTTCCTACTACCAAGAACACTGGAATCTTCCTTACTGGAAAATTAACTAGTGCAGCTACCCAAGCTCTTGAGAGAGCTTGTGGAACAAGAAACGTTTTGTTCAGTGCATGGGACGCCGGAAAAGGTGAGTTTTATCGAGTTGCTTACAATTTTTCTGTTTTACGACAAATAATATGATTAAGTAAACGTCAATCTTCACGTGAGAACTGTCTTATCACCATACACCGCATTAGCAAGTGCTGGATATACATTCAGAGAGAACAGAGCAGGATGCGGAGGAATTAAGGGATTGGCAGCATTAAGAGAGTTCCAACACAAGACCAAACAAGGACACTACACTTATGAAAACGATCCAGCTAAGATTCAAACTCTTCTGGCCACTGGGGAATGGACACAGACAGCCAAGGATTTGGGATATACTACCCTTGATCAAATTGGATTTGCTCTCTTCAATCGCGTTATTTAATTGAATCTTGAATAAAGTCATGGTTTTCTTCAAATATTGCTTAGTTTTGAAATTGTGTGAAAATTTTTTCAAGCAACTAAAATGATCTCAACTGTGAAACATGATGGTTTCAAGAAATGGACCAATAAAATGGGTTCCACTTTTCTTGAATGAAATTCTGAAAAGAAAAGTAATACATCAATTAGAAGCTGTGTTATTCTAGAACCAAAAAGGTGATGAAAAAATGATGACGTAACCCTCAAAATACCTAAACACTACACTAGAACTCAACTTTGGGCCAATTAATCTCGGTTTTTGGGGAGTATATCACAAAGTGGTCCACTGACAATATATTTTTGATATTTTAATGAAAATTTTGTCAGTGACAGTTTTTTGAAATCTTTTTCAGGAAATGAGATGAATGGGCTCAAAGTTGGCGGTTTGGGTGGCACTATATCAGAGTGTTAGCTACCTTAAAACTAGGTCATTTTTCTATTTTAATGGACAACACCATCGTATAAAGCGTCATGTAAAACGAAGCACATTTTCCCAACACCTGGCGGCTTCAGGTTTCGACTGTAAAAGTAAAACTTCCAACGATTAAAAATAATAAGCAAAACATTTTTTTTTCTGGGTTAATAAAAATATTTATGATCTGATCCACGTTTATTTGGGATATTTGGCTAGAATATTCCCTCCGGTTCGAACATCGCAATTGACACCATATCCCAAAATCCGTCCAGTTTCTTTGTATTCATCTTCAATCAATGCAATTTCGTCTTGATCTCCAGCAGAGATTTTAACCTAAAAAATGGGAAAATGGAACTCTTCAGTATTACACAATCAGAATTTTTATCTTACAATGTTATCTTTCTCCATTTCTTTTAACGGGATCAGAGGGAAATCACACTTGTTTCCTTGTGCAGATTTGAAAGCATATCCGAATTCTCCAACCCAAGATACTGGAGAAAGTGGAACAACACCAACATCGGTACTGAGTCAAAGGAAGCCTTGAGCTTGATTGACCCATTGGAAAATAGTAGTTGTGGGACCACACTTTTCCAGCTCTGTCTTCACAACTTGACTGCTGAATGCGCATGCTTTTGTTTCGTTTACTCTTGTAACGACGCTAGTAGATTGAGGACTAATTTTCAAATCTCCACCAACTGAATATTTCAAAGTTCGGGTTCCAGAAGCACAGAACATTAGAATCGGTTCTGCTTTGAAATATTTGTTGACGTATGGAATAGTTGTCGTTATGGTGGTTGATGGCGTAGTTTTGACCATTATAGTAGAAGTAGAAGCAGTGGTTGTAGATGCGTCACGAGTTGGAGACAAATCCGAAACAGTAGAAACTGTGATCGAATAATGTTTCGTTGAGCTTGTTGAACTTCCGCGTCCTGTAGAAGACTCTATGAATTTTGTTGCTGTGAATCGATAGATGGTTCGATGCTTGTTGATCCTTCGTGTATGGTGCTTGATTCATCTTCCACAGTTGTTTTAAATTCAGCATATGAACTAACTGCGCTCGACGATGTTGAAGCGCTCATTTTGGTAGGGGATTCATGCGAAGAAGTTGAGCTCTGTGATGGTTGTAAAGATGAACTGCGTGACTTTGAAATGGTGCTTGTAGAAAAAGAAGACGTGCTAGATGAAATTTCGGCATCTTGTGGAGAAGTTGTGGTTTGTAAGGTCGTCACTGAAGAATACTCGACTGGATCTGTTGTGGACGAATCGGATGACTCGGTGGACTTTGCCGTTGGATCAACAGACGTCGTGGATGGTTTTATCGATATAGATGATAATGTAGACAAGTGGATAGTAGTGCTACATTTATCGGTTTCTTCTGAGATTGATGTAGCGGAGCTGACAGTAGGATCTGAGTTGGTTGAAGATGTTGAAGATCTTATGCTTGATTCTTGTTGAGATGTACCAGCTTCTGAAGTCATGAACTCCTTGGTTGTAGATACTGAATCCTCATAATGAGTGGAAGATGTGCTTATGATTCCATCAGTTGAAACATTCGTTGACACATCGGAAGGTACTGTAGAAGCTGTCGTTGGTGTTACTGTTACACCATCTTCAGTAGTAATCTCTATCGAAATGCCACCGATAGTGGTAGCAACCTCACCCGATACCTCTAACTCAATCAGTCTGATAAATTAAAATATCCTCCTGTTCCATTAAATTCCTCACGAATAGATCGGCATGTTTTCAGGAATAGCAATCGGTTCAAAGGCATATCCCAGAGTTCTAACAAATTTTTATTTGTTTTCCATATGATCTCTATACTGGCAACCATGAAATTGGGCAGGATAATAGTTATTGGCGTAAGCGAATACTGAAAAGGTGAGGTTTAGACACAATCCAACTTATAAGCATTACGATCATCCGCAGCAGAATAATATTCATCGTATCCGTGTAATCCAACTGCCCATTCAGTAGACAAATACCCTGATTTTGCCAAAATCTTATCCGTTGCTAATGGGTTCGTATCAAATTTAAATCGACCTTTCTCATCTATTACATTGTAAATTGGTTGCACTTTTGATGGGAAGTTTTGGCATGTATCGATTCCGCAATTCAAATCTTTCAGGAACATTTCCATTGTGTGTCCACGGACTGCATTTATCTCAGGAATATCTGTAAAACTGTCAAACAAACCTGAAAATAAACTGAAGGTTACCCGAATTGTTTAGAACTAAATTTTGGGATAATTTAGTGAAGAAAACCGATTTCGTCGGAGTTGCTTTAGCATCAGTGATTCGGAATATCGGCTCAAGAATTATTTTTTGAATAACAGTTCTTGTTTGAACTAGTAAGCAGCAGGTCAAGAAGCCTATCAAGAGCTTCATATCGGTGAAGTTGCTTCATATCGGTGAACAATTGTGACGAATCTACAGAAAAAAAGTCACTAATGATATGCGATTCTAATTTTTCGCTTATTAACATTCAGTTTCATTCATATGGTGATTTCTGGTGAAATGTGGGGAAGACCTGTGAGCTGGAACAGGAAAACGAACCGAAGACACTTAAGAAACCGAGTCGAAACAACCTCACATTGAAGAATTGCTATTTTTTGTGTATTTATTCGGGGAAAATGTAAACTTCTGATTGTTCTCAAGTCTAACTTCTGATTGTTCTCAAGTCTATCTTGAGTTTCAAGAAATCCCAAAAGGGTCTTTGAAGTTCAGAGTCTGAACGCACTGTATCTTCAAACTGTGAAAACTACTTTTGGTAAAAGTGCACATTGTGTGTGAAATCTTTAGCATTTAGGCACGAAATTTATTTTTTTCATTCTTATAATAATTTTTTCAATACTTGCAGAGATTCAGACAAATTTAATCGCTGAAAAAAGAGTTTTTGAGCTTCCGAAACGTCGCAAAAAAATGTGCAAAAATTAAATGTGATTACGGTTGACGAGTGGTGTTTGCGGACACACCACGTTCTCCGCGCAACCTCATACGCCGCGTTGGTTTGGATACAATCTTTTTCTTTGGTTTTATTAGTACAATCGATTTTAATGAGCAATTTTTACTAATAAAAACTAATAAAAATATTCGTCAACTTCTATTGACAGTTTTCTTCGCTTCACACTTTTCCAAATATCGATTTTTAGGTAATCATCCGGAACGATATGAAGACGTTAGTCATCCTATTATCCGCAGTCGTTCTTGCGAACTCGTTGAGGTTCTACGTTCCTCCAAAAGAGAAAAAGTGCCTGAAAGAGGAAATTCACAAGGTAAACAATTTTTTTCAAGTCAGAAGTCCTTATCGCCGAGATAAAATCTAATAATTGACCTAAAATCACATTTTTTTTTCATTAATCTTTTCTCATTCAAATAAAATCTATCATAAAACGGTAGAAATAAGAATCAATGATGAATTCGTAATATTTTCAGAATGTCGTCGTAACTGGAGAATATGAATTCAGTCAAGGAATACAATACACTGGAAGTATCCATGTGAGCAATAGTCTAAAAATGGTTTGCTAATCAGATAATTTTTAGGTTACCGACACTCGAGGACACACTCTTTACAAGCGTGAAAACTTCATCGATCTGAAAGGGAAGTTTGCATTCACCGCCGACGAGTATGACATCTTCGAGATTTGCATTGAAAACCATCCACCAGCAGGACATCCAGGAGAGAAACGCGAGGTTTCTCTTGTATTGAAGCACGGAGTTGAAGCAAAGAACTACGATGATATTGCCAAGGCCGAGAAGCTGAAGCCACTCGAGGTTGAACTGAGACGGTTGGAGGATTTGGCTGATTCCATCACCAAGGATTTTGCCTTCATGCGCCAGAGAGAGGAGGAAATGAGAAACACGAACGGTGAGATTCGAAAAAAAAATTCTGAGAAACACCGCATAAATCAAAAAATCAGCAGTTAGTGACTACTCACTGATTAGTGCTCGATCACATGATTCAAAATCTACAGCAAATATGTTTTATTCTAAACTAAGAGGTTAAATCTGTTTCCAGTTTTCACTCATATCGGTGGTTATAAAATTGGAGACCCCGCAAATTCCGGG